GTATTTATCCAAAGGATACAAACATAGTGATGCGAAGGGACAGCTGCACCCCAGTGTTTATAGCAGCAATGTCCATGATAGCCAAAATATGGAAAGAGCCCAGATGTCCCTCAACAGATGAATGGATAAAGAAGTTGTGGGGTATTTGTGTTTATGTGTGTACACACACACACACACATATATCTCACACACACACACACACACACACATATATCTCACACACACACACACACACACACACACACACACATATATATATATATATATACAGTGGGATATTATGCAGCCATCAAAAAGAATGAAATCTTGCCATTTGTAATGATGTGGATGGAACTAGAGGGTATTATGCTAAGTGAAATAAGTCAGTCAGAGAAAGACAAATGCCATATGATTTCACTCATATGTGGAATTTAAGGAACAAAACAGATGAACATAGGGGAAGGGAAGGAAAAATAAAATAAGATGAAAATTAAGAGGGAGACAAACCATAAGAGACTCTTAACTATAGGAAACAAAGTAAGGGTTGCTGGAGGGGATGTGGGTGGGGGGATGGGGTAATTGGATGATGGGCATTAAGGAGGGCACTTGATGTAATGAGCACTGGGTGTTATATGCAACTGATGAATCACTAAATTCTACCCCTGAAACTAATAATACACTATATGTTAACTAAAATGAATTTTAAAAAAAGGAACTTAAAAGACTGAAAAGTATTAGGTAACATAGGCAATGGTCTGAAATGAATTCTGAAACCATTTTGACCTTGGGCTATATTAATAAAATAACTAGAACAAGAAAAAGCCCGAATTGACTTTATTCTGTGTTGATCATTATGGAATTTAGATCTAGGGACATAGACAAATTGGAACATATTCATAAAAGAGCAACTAGCATGATGAAAGGTTTTTGTGTGTGTGGAGAATAGCAGAAGAAACAAGAGTCGTATGGTTTAGAGAAAAGAAAACTTGAGGAGCATAATAGCTATAATAGTTATGATGTTTGCCACTGTAAGAAAAAAAAAGCACTTCTAACTGGCTTTAATAATGAACATAATTTATGGGCTCATATAACTCAAAAGTTCTGAGACAAGTTGGATTTTAGGTGAGGCTCAATCTAGTGGCCTAGTTAATCTTTCTATTTTGCTTTCTACAGTTTTGACCAAAACTGGCTGCCACTCTCTCCCTTCTTGGGTCAGGATATCTGCTGGCAACAATTAGGGCTATGTGCTTCCTTCATGTCAAGTGTGAGTCTGAAAAACCTTTTTCCTCCTATATAGCTCATTGAAAGAAAGAGTAATTTTCTTTTTCCAGATCCCTAGGAAATCTCTCTTGTGTCTCATTGGGTAGAATTGTGACACATGCCAATCTCTGAACAAATTACAGGGGCCATAAGGATGGTGTGTGCAAATTTGCATGGCTAATCACAAATCTGTGTCTTGAGCTGAGATATTATGTTCATCAGGATTCTCAGGAGAAACAGAACCAGCAGGAGATACACACACACACACACACACACACACACACACACACACACACACACTCGTATATTACATATTGATATATATTATATATAAAATATATATTTAAATATATAAATGATGTGTGTATGTATGTATATCTCCTGCTGGTTCTGTTTCTCCTGAGAATCCTGACGGATATAATATATAATATATAAAGGGATTTATTTTAAGGAATTTGCTCATACAATAGTGGGACTGGCAAGTCTGAAGTAGATAGGACAGGCCATCAGGCTAGAAATTCTCTGACAGGAGCTGATATTGAAGTCTTGAGGCTGAATTTCTTCTTCCTCTGGGAAACCTCAGTTTTTGCTCTTGGAAAGCCTTTCACCTCATTGGATGAGGTACACCTACATTACTAAAGGTAATGTCCTCACTTAAAGTGAACCGATTATTAACTACATTTACAAAGCAACACCTCGATTAGTGTTTGATTAAATAACTAGGTAATGTAGCCTTGCCAAGTTGGCATATAAACCACTATAGATATAATCATTCTCGCCCAAAATACATGGCTGAAATTTTGAGGTCCTGCTGGAACAGAGATTGGCCAACTAAGAGGCAGCCAACAAATATCCCTTACAATGACTAATAGTATATGAAAGGCTTCCATGGTTGTAGGTTTTCAGTTGTTTTACATAGACTAATATCAAGGGGAAAAAATATAGAAATGGTGAGGAAACAGTTATCAACTAAAAAATAATTAGCAAAAAACAGTAATGAGTTCTGATTATTGGGAAATGTTCAAACATGAGCTAGATGGTTGTCATGTAAGGCCTTAAAATTAAAGCCCAATATTATGTGTTCTTGACATCTGGGGAAAATTGGGAGACCTTCCAGTGGCCCAACCACAAGTTCTCCTCCCCACTGTGCTCTCACAGATAAGGTTCCTGAACCAAAGGACCCTTATTATCAAAGGAATAAGTAAAAATATCTGCTTATCTCTGAGTAGCAGGTTTCAGTTCTCTGCCCATGGAATTACTCAGACAAGCCAATCACATTCTCTCATGGGAACCAAGGGTGACCGGCTCTTTGGATACTTAAAACCTGCTTATTATAGCCTCTGCTTGCCCACTCTGTTCCTGAGTGCCACCCACATGTAGCCATGCATGGTACATGCTGCCCTCCTCCCCTGGGCTGTAAGGATGTGTGATTAATAAACTTGTCAATTTCATCTGTCCAGTGGCCAGGTTCTGTGTTTCAACCATTTCCATAATTCTAGAATGGGCATCCCTCCCTCACCGATGAGGAGAATGCGAGGTGGTTAAAACAGTGACTCTCCCCCTACCCCACCCCACCCAGCAGTGATGGTGGAGATGGAAAAGATTCAAACATCAGTTAAATAATTGGAATTAGTGATTTGTGAGTTGCTTTCCAATCCCAGTATTCTATTATTTGTGTTCCCAGTGTTAGTATTAGCATTCATTGTGTATTTACAAATACAGATATAACAATTTATCTTTCTACTATTAGCATCCATCAGGTTGTTTCACAAATTATTCATTTATATATTTCTTCCTCAGTTCAAAGCTTTGAAAAGCCATGCTTTATTCATCTTTATATACCTTCAATTAACATGTCTGATATATAGCAGATAGCCAATGAAATTTTGGTGAGTGAATCTGAAAATCAAGTTTCTCCATCAGAATTTGGGGAAAAATTACCAATGAGCAATGAAGTTCTCCTTAAACATAACATCATAAATATGAATTCCCCAACACTGTTGAAATCCAAACTTACCCTATCCACCTGTAGATGGAGGGAATAAGGTCTTGGGAGAGTTGCCAATTTTTTCTCTTGTCAGTCCCCATTCAAAATGCATACCAGTTGCCCTAAGGCTTCTGAAGAACCCTGCAGGCAGCATCTCACTTTGTGTAGGAAGGAGAATTAGTATAGCTGCAAGGTGATCCCAATTTCTTGCCTGTCTATTGATTTTGAATGCTCCATTCACTTTAAAATCCCTGCTGAAAGCTAAAACATTGTTTCTGCAAGTAGGTATTTATTTTAAGAATAGTTTCATGCTTCATACTTCAGGTGTGCAGCTGCACAGCACCCCTATCCTACATTATGGGAAAAATATAGAACAATCTAAAGTGTTTGGTTTGAAGATGTTTGACATACCTTTTTTCTGTGATCTCTGCTTTATTATTTATTGTACTTAAATTGGCTTACTCATTAAATTTATTTTTTATTAACATACAGTACTATATAAGTTTAAGGTGTATAGTGTAATGATTTGACTTACAAATATTGTGAAATGATTACCACAATAATTTAGTTAACATCCATCATCTCATATAAATATAAAAAAAGAAAAAATATGTCTTTCCTTGAGATGAGAACTCTTAGGATTTACTCTCTTAAGAGCTACTTATATATCATACAGCAGTGTCAACTGTAGTTGTCATGTTGTATATTATATATTACATCCCTAGTACTTATTTAACTTATTTATCTGGACATTTGTACCTTCTGACCACCTTCATCCAATTCTCTTTTCCCCATCTCCTACCTCTGGTAACCACAAATCTGATCTCTCTCTCTCACTCTTTTTTTTTTTTTAATGAATTTGGCTTTCTCTCTCTCTTTTTAAGATTTCACATATGACATCATATGTCTTTCTCTCTCTGACTTATTTCACTTAGGATAATGCCCTCAAGGTCCATCCAGACTATCACAAATGACAAGATTTCCTTCTTTTTTAAGGCTGGATAATATTCCATTTGTGTGTGTGTGTGTGTGTGTGTGTGTGTGTGTGTGTGTGTGTGTGTACACAACTTCTTTATTCATCTGTTGAGGGACACTTAAGTTGTTTCCATGTTCTGGCTATTATAAATAATGCTTTTATGAACATGGGGTGCAGATACCTCTTCAACAGAATGTTTTCATTTCCTCTAGATATATTTCCAGAAGTGGAATTGCTGGATCATTTGTTCTATTTTTAATTTTTTGAGGAAGCTCTATACTGTTTTCCATAGTAGTTGTACAAATTTACATCCCCACCAACAGTGCACAGTTCCCCTTTCTCCACATCCTCACCAGCATTTGTTATCTCTAAATTTATTCTTTTGATAAATGATATATGCTTCTTTTCCTGACCCATAGATTTAAGATTTTTCTTTTTTTGAAAAGAGTTTATTTTGTGCAAATGAATAAGAGATTTTTTTTTAAAGAACTATGAATGACCTGGTCTGACAAAGGAATTTTGCAAATTCGTGAACTTACTGTATACCTTCACGGAATATATAATAAACTGTTTATTAGCAAAAATAAAATTATATTAATTCACCTTTGGTGTTGAAACCAGGGGTGTAAAGTTTCCATTTTCATATGTCTTTATATAGTACCAAGCATGTGATTGGTCCTTACTAAATACATATTGGTTAAATAAGCTAATAATAGTCTGTGCTTCCTTCCGTTGATCATAGACCATAAGAATTTAATATAACAAAGTCTTTTCTCCATCTCCTGGGTTTATTCACAGTAAACAGATCCGAGCTATGCTAGGCCAGTTCAGCCAGGCAGAAGCCTTATTAATGAAAGCTGGAGTGCAGCCAGGGACTTTGGATGGAGTTCTTTTGGATCTTGGGTGTTCCTCCATGCAACTTGATGCTCCTGAAAGAGGTTTTTCCCTCCGGAAGGACGGCCCCTTGGACATGAGAATGGATGGTGGCAGGTGAGTATGGATAAAGCATTTCTCCTCACAAGAAATCAATTTTGCGAAAACACTCTGGATTTAATTTCCTTTTAAGACTGCAGAATTCCCATCACACACCCACACCTAACACTATCCATACATAATAAATCAGTTTTGTTTGCTACTCATTATAGACTTTAGTGTTTCTCTAGATTTGAAATTCTAAAAGAAAAATCATTGCTATCTTTACACAAAATAGTGAAGAGGATAACTTTCATATTATCTTTTTTACAGATACAATATGAGCCTTTAGACTACAAACAGTATTGATAAATGTGATACTGAAACAATGGATCCATTTCTATCCAGGCCCAACTATGCCTATTGTGAGATGTAAAAGGAATTATATTTCATGCATATTCTTTTGAATACTGCATAAAATGCAAGATTCTGGAGGTCAGCAATTGTATGTTTTGTCCTGCTCTTGTACAGTCACTTTGGTTTAACCTTCTCCAGAGAAATTACAGTTTATGGTACTGTATCAACATAGTACTATGTATAGGACAGCTTTACACCTCCTCCTCTTCATTCCTCACCACTCTGGAAAGTTTGTTCTCCATTATTCAAGGAAGTACATGTAACACAAAGAGGATCACATTCTAGTAAAGTGTGGGATAAGTTCTTTTAAACCTAAATTAATTTTTAAAGCTTAGATTAGCACTTGTCTCTATGCCTAACACTGGCTCAGGGATGGAATAGCCTCTACGTACAAAGCTTAACAGTGTTTTTCTTCCTCATGCCCCACCACCACCGCCAAATTATGTATCACAGCCCTCACCTTTGGGAAGCTTACCTTCTAAGAGGAATATTAGATTTTCTTATTTCTAAATAAGCAAACCATTCTGTTACTGTTACTAATCTGCAGTTCTAACCTACACAAACATTTCTACTGAGACAAATAGATTTTCCAAAATGTCTTCCAATCTATTAGAAGGACCTGTATATAAGAAATTTAATGTCCTGTTTAAGTCAGCAAATTAATATTGAGTTGACTTTGACTTCTTTCCCATAAAATGCTTTGTTCAATGGTAATTATTCACATATAGCCTTTTCCCCATGTTTTGATATGACCTGGTAACTTGGATTGTGACCCATACTTGTTGGAACCTTTTTGTTCTGAATCTTACACCTTCTTTTGCACAAATTGGCATTCATAGGATGAAGAATGTGATTATAAAAGAAAATAATGAAAATCCCTTAAAAAGCAGTGACTAATAGTAAAGGTCAAATATCTTTTCATGTTTGGAGATTGAGGTTGTTGTGTAGAGGTAATAAAATGTCAAGCAAATATCTGCTGTTCCTATGTCTTGTTAAAGGAGGATGCCTTCTGAAATACAATGAACAAAGTTTCTAATTAATGGTAGTAAATCCCCATATTGTTAATATAAAGACTTTTCAGCAAATTGTAGTCTGTAAATCAGGGTTCTTGAAGTTTTCCCCTAAGAACCTGAAAATAAAATTGCCCTTGAGCATTAAACTCTAAGTCAATACATAATGGATGAGATTAGAGTTGAGCAAATATATCTTAAAAAGCAGGGTGGCTTCCAGGTAGATCGCATAGACTGTATAACCCAATCAGTGCAAGTATATCCAATACTTGATCCAAGTGGTGTTACGGGGCGAGGGAGTCCAAGCCAAAAAATAGGGCCAGTCAGATCCTGGAGGCTAATATATCTCTGCGATGAAGGTAGATGCAAGAGGCTTTCCTAACCTGTTGCCATTTAACACTGGACTCGTATAGCATAGTTTAGTCTGTGCTATCTGGTTTCAGCAACAGGTCTCAGATTACAAAAGGTTCTCATGTAGCAAAAAGAAACACAGCTTCAAGGACTCGCGGGTCTAATTCTGTTGTCAGTTGTATTCTTCACTGGAGGTTAATCAGTTGTCACTTGTGTTAATATTTTCTTTCTGTCTTTAGTGCAGTTATTTTAAATCAGTGATTTTTGGAGAACCGACAAGATCTCTCACCTGTTAATTTGGGGGCGGGGGGCAGATTTTGTATCTTGACTTCACTGTGAATGCCTATTCTGAAGTCTCCTAGCAGCCTGTCGGCTTTTCAGTGTTGCCCCTTTTGTAAATGGAAACTTCTACATTGCTATTCAGTGTTAACATGAGGGTAAAATAAAATTATGCCCATTATCCACTGAACTATATTTGAGCAAAATGCTGTTTAATGGTCTTACTTAAAAGTAGAAAGGTATTATAAGAAACTGCTAAGTACATCCATACTAATCTTAGAGTTGTCCTGGTAGAGCTGGACTATATCCTGTGGGTCTGAATTTACTATCATTAATAAGGTTCATTTCGATGCTCAGTGGTTTGGACAGTTGAATACACAGCTACATAAGATCTAGTAGGATGTTGTCCATTAGGCTAAGGATGATGGGCAAATCTAGGAATGGGCAAGATCTGGAACACAGACATTCATTGAGCTTCTGTATGCCAGACATTCTATCTATTTTACAATTGCATGTACTCTTAATTCTTCTAACAATTCTATAAGGAAAGCATTGTTATTTCATTTTACAGGTTAGAAATTGGGGCTTCAGTAGGTTAAAAAGCTTACACAATATGAATAGCAAGTCTGGGATTCTAACCTAGGTTGATCTGACTCTAAAGACCAAATCTTTATCCTTAAAGCTATTATTGAAGGAACAAAGGCTATTGAGATGGAAACAGGGCTACCTTATAGGATGTTCATTAGTCTGGGGGTACCATGGCAGCCAAAAAATAAAATGAGTCAGATCTGGAAAGCAAGGTTTCATTCTCTCTGTCTCTCTTTCATACACATACGTGTGTGCGTGCACACACACACGCACACACACACACACGGAGTAAGACAGAGAGAGAGAGGGAGAGGTCATGGCAAAATAGGGCAAAAGCCAAAGACAACAAAATTTTCTCCTGGAGGCACTAGGCATGTTAACAAGGTGCAGTAGAGTATTTTTTAAGAAGGGATTCAGGTGTTTCTTCACAGCCCCACTGTGGTGTAGTATTTAGGTCTTAAAGCTACCATATCCTTATTACTTAAAGTCCTCACAGTGTGATACCGATGATCAGTCCAACACATTAACTACAGGAGTAGTAACTGTACTGTTAACAAAGCTATCTTACTAATAAGTAAGGTCTCGGTTGGTTCATCACTTAGAATTCCTTCACACATTTCCCTAAAAGGTAAACTGAAATGAATGGTCTGACAGAGTGAATGCTATTTCCTACTACTGTGATCTATTCTATTTGGCTAGAGGTTGTTTTTCCTTTGTCTCCTGCACCTGAAATTACCATCTGAGGCTTGTTTAGTACTGTTTCTTGATTACTAAGTTTTACCCCATGGTGACTTTAGTCATGGGTTTATAAACCAATATCATTAAACACTGGAAATAACATACATTATTACCATTAAGTTGTTCAATTTTTTTGTGAGGGAAATGGACTGGGAGTATCTTCTTGTATAGACTTTCCAAGTTCAATTTGTGCTCCCAGAAAAGTACTCAGTTACTTTATAATCTCAGAATTAAGTTCCTGAGACATAGGCTCCTTTAAATATCTGTCCATATCTTGTATCTTCTTATAGTGAAAAACAAAATCAGGCAGTAATTTAAATTTCGAACAAGCTAAGTCCAAACATTTTCCATTATTTTAGTTTAGGGGAAATCTGCATTAGTAATAATAACTTCTTTGTGAATTAAAGGTTAGTAAAATATTTTAATTTCGTGCTGCCCTTGACCTTGATGAATGTCACACACAATCCACTATTGCTATTATGATGGGTATTTGAAATGGAAAATCTATTTCATTCGTTTAAGATTTCAGTCTCTGACTTTAAAAAACCTCAGACGCTCTCTTAGACTGTGTGTGTATACCTGACTTCAGTACTCTGAAATTTCACCTCTTGTCAATGAAAACTGACGTCAGCAAACTAATTGGCTCTTCTTGTGCGTAGGTACCCTGACATGCCCACCGCAGCTGATGTTGTGAACGCTTTAGATCAACAGGCACTTGCATCCATCCTGAGAACATACGGGGAGGAGAAGCATGCCAAGAAAATCGCTTCAGCAATCGTTCAGGCACGCAGCCTTTACCCCATCTCCAGAACCCAGCAGCTTGCCAGCATCGTTGCAGGTACCCTCATTAATTCTGAACAGTGTCTGAGAGAAAAAAGAAAAAAAATATATATATATGTGTGTGTGTATATATATATATATATTAATCCCCCAAACTCCCAGAGGGATTCATTTGTGCTTAAAATCATGCAGGATAGAATCTTGCGTATCCTTCTCTCCATACCAGCTTTCTTTTGGTTTTGCAAACTTCTCCCATCCAACACCTCTCCCCCACACAATTTAAGAAAATAATACTGTAGTTGCTGATTAGTTGAACAATAGATTGTTTTTTGGGGTTTTTTGTTTTTTGTTTTTTTTGTGAGAGGTAATTTATCATTTGTGCCTACCAAGGTGAAACATGGAATGACAAGAGCAGAAGAATTTCTTGATCTATCACAGTGGTTGATAAGCATTCTGTATAAGATCTGACATTACCTCTCTTAGTTTCACATTTCTGCATTTTAATATTTTGGGCAAAAGGAGAATTGCATTGCCCAACTGCTAAAATAAAATCCAGTGACTCATACATCTATTCTAAACAACCAGCTAACAAAGGGTATGTGATGTATAGGTTACTCCACTTTGTGAATGCTAACTAAATCAGCCTGAGGGGCTTATTGAAATATTTCATCTTTTGTGCTGTTTGCCACCATAAACCTCTTGAACTTAAGTCTAGCTAGGAGGCGCTTTATTATAGCCTTTCTGTTTGAAGCCAAAGTTGTTTCACAGCTGTGTTCCATGATGAAAGTTTTTCAAGGCAAAAATACAACTCCTGCAGTTATTTAACAGAATTCCAGTGTTAAATTCTTCATCTTATTGGGCCATCTGAAACTCTACATCATTTTTATTTACCAAATGTATTAGGATTTCTTTTCACTGGCTCCTGTTAAGTTACTTAAGTAGCTAAGGAAGTAGTGAAAATGAATAATTGTGTAGCTTATAAAAAGAACCTAATATTAGTTGCCTCTGTCTTAATATTATGTATAGTTTAAGGAATAAAACTTGATTATAAATTCATTCAGATGAAGATTTAGAGATCATATAGCAGTTGTTTTATGACATAATTTAATAAAACTCTATTTTACTTAGGATAATAAAATATAGAGTTGGCCAAGTCTTTAAATTTTTTAAGCTTTATACACACCTCAAGGCCTTTCCAACTTACTACTGAGATTCCTGTAGTCAAGTAAGAGCAAAATTCTTGTAGGTTATATGATCATAAAATATTGCATGGTATTTTTTCCCAAAAAGAGTTTGTATTAGCAGACTGCATTAATTCGCCCTCTGTCTTGTGTCCCTTTCTTTCTCCTCTGTACTCACTAACCATTACTACCTTATCTTACCCTTTCTGTCATTCTTTAGCTGTATATGTTGTTGTCTGGTTCCCATATTTTTATACATGAGAAAATTCAGAATTTTCTAGTGCTGAAAGTGAGGATCAGGGCTAAGGGCATCCTAGAAGATCATCCAGTCAAAAAACCTCATCTGATAACTGAAGAAACTGAGTCTCAGGGAGGGTCAGTGGTTTCCTCCAATGTGGACAGCCTAGTTAATGGCAAAGTCAGTACTAATCTAGAATTTGGAAGCTCATGAATTTGAGGCATAACTGGGAATTTGCCTTTAAGATATTGAGTTAACTTTTTTGTCTCAGGGTCCTAATCTGCAAACTTGGGGTAATAACTCTGTGGCATTACACAGAAATTATATCAAGATGTAGAATAGGAACAATTTCAGTATTTTCAGAAAGATTATGATGTGAAAAACATATTAGGCCTAAGAGAAATGATACCATAAAAATGAGAATATTCATATATGTGTAGAATTAAATAAATGCCATTAAAAGATTGAGTTCCCCATAATGAGTCCTTTTTTATGGCTCAAATCAGCCCATAATAATACAAATTTACTGATGATATAATTCTGTGGAAAAGGGAAAAACAGAAAAAAATAGGTTTGCATTTTGTGCTCTTTTATTCAAAAACCATTTTGGGAGAGGCTGCTATATACCAGGCATTATACTGAGTACTAACAGTAGAAGGGGGGAGCAGATCAGAGCCTCTATTCACAAAGTTTACTGACTGGTAAGTGGCTGAATAAAAACATAGTATAGTAAACATGGTTCTTCTAGTTATAGTGGAAATCCCCTTATTTACCATAGTCTGAAATTATGATTATGTGGGTAATAGAAGAAGTTGGTACATGTGGAGAATTATAGAACCTATACATATTTATATATATGGAGATGCTTGGGTCCTAATTGCAGTTCTGCAAAGTCCATTCTTACATAAACCACAACCATGGTGTATCTTCTACAAGCTCCGATTTTATTTTTATTAAAGTAAAGTTAGAGTTTAAAGGTACTTACAAAGCAATCTGAACATATTTTCTAGATTTTTATAATTTTTCAATCTTTCATAATTACCTCATGTACATCTAATTTGATTGCATTTTTTACATGACTTACCTTTTTCGAGAGTCTCCAAAGTCTCTACATTAGTTTTCATGAGAACAGCAGATGTCTTTCATTTTGCATTCATATTTCACCAGTTTATGTAATATTTGATTAAATTAATTAATGGCAAATGTAAGTGCTCTGGGCTATAAGGGAATAGCTCTTTCGGGGGGAGCAGGACTGTATAGGAATGCTCAGAGTAAAATACTACCCTGAGACACTTGAACAGAGAAAGGGATTAATTTGTCAGTTCTCTTAAATAGAAGTCTCTTAAGAGCTACTCATGAGGAAATATGGAAAGCAATGGAGGGCCCATTACGGTTCCTGTATTAGTTTCCTGGCGCTGCAGTAATAAAGTACCACACATTTGGTGGCTTAAAATAACAGAAATTTATTCTGTCACAGTTCTGGAGGCTAGAAGTCCAAAGTCAAGTTACCAGCAGGGCTCTAGAGGAGAATGCCTCCTTGACCATTCCTAGTGTCTGGCAGTTGCCAGCAATCCTCGGTGTTCCTTGGATTATATATGTATCACTAAGTCTCTGTCTCCACTATCATGTGGGATTCTCCCTGAACATGTTTTTGTGTCCAAATTTTCCTTTTATTATAAGGACATCAGTTGTATTGGATTTAGGGCCCAACCTAATAGAATATGTCCTCAACTTGAATGATATCTGCAAAGACCCTATTTCCAAATAAAGTTATGTTCACAGATTTCTGGTAAACACAAACTTTGGGGGACACTATTCAACCTGGTACAGTTCCTAAGCAATATCTTTATTTAAGAAACATGTATTTTGGCAGGCTATAACATGCTATGACTATATTCGGACATCTTTTCTGGTTCTAATAAAATCATACTAAGTATGTCCAAAATTATCAAGCACTCTGGGAAATATGCCACATAGTAAAGCCCATATATTGATGGAAATATAAATCACTTCCTTTACTTTCAAAAAGCTAATAATCCATTAGGACAAGGAAGACCATGACACTTGTAATCACAATATACTTAGTGGAATTATCTAATAATTCAAGTGATTAAGTTGTAATTTGTAAAACCTAAAGCCTGGTGCCTTTTGCTAGTACAAGTAACTACAGTTCCAGTATTCTTCCATATCATGTGAGCACCAAAAGACAGGTTTGAAGCTGCAGTTTGGAACAGGACACTTACAACTACCATGAATTACTTTGTGAATTAGCAAATTAGTGATTTATCATTCCAAAAACAACCTGTGGGACTTCACTATTCATATACACTATTTAGAACTGCTAGCCAGAAATTTTAATATTAATATCTAACACATGTTAGTGTTCTCTCCAAAAATAATTCATAAATAACAAATCACATTTTCTTAAGCCTAGTTTATGTTCTAATACAGTTAGAACTAAAAAGTTAGATTTATGAACTCTAAGACTTGAAAATGACCTGAGGAACTAATTTAATGTAGAACCAAACTCTTCATCACCTCTAATAAATGGTTATCTTGCTTTAGCCTTGTCATCTCCATCTGTCTTACTCCCCTTGTATTTCTGTGAAGAGGAACACATTTCAGTCTGAAATTGCTAGTTCCATAAATAGAGACCTGAAGTCTTTAGAAAGGATGAATTCCTTAGAATAAAATCCAAATTCCTTTACATGGTTTGCAAAGCTTTTCATGGACCAGCTCTTACCTGTCTTTTCGTTTTCATCTTTCTTGCTCTCCATAGTAATCTCTGTCCTGACCATATTAAAGTTCTTACAGTCTCGTCTTTCCAGCACACCATAGTCGCTCTCACTTACAGGCCTTGTGTATTATTAACATTAACACTAAAGTGCCCAACCCCTATCCTTTCCTATCGCTAGTGCCTGCTCATCCTTTTGAGCATAGCTGAAGTGTCACTTCCTCCAGGAGGTTTTTTTCTAGCTCCACACAGATTAGCTGAGATGCTCTCCTCCATGCTCCTGTAGCACTGCATTTCCCTGTCATAGCATTTCCACTATTCTAGTGCTTGCTTCCCATTTAACTTCTCCCCTAGATCTGTACTGTCTAGTACAGTTGCCAGTAGCCACATGTGTCTATGGAATTCTTGAAATGTGGCTGCTCCTAATTGAAAGATCATTCATGTAAAATATACACCTTAATTTGAAAAAAGAATTTAGTGTATCTCAAAAATGTATATGTTCATCCTGTGTTGAAATGGTCATATTTTAGAAATTATTGGGTTGTATACAATATTAAAATTAACTATACCTGTTTCTTTTTACTTTTTTAAGGTGGCTATAGAAAATTTTAAGTAATATAAAACTTTATTTTATAAAGTTGGTATTCAGAGAAATAACATCAGTGGAACTAAAAAATTGGTGTTCAGTCTTGGAGGTCATAAACAGTGATTCCCTCCATACCATTATGCTCTAATAACACTAACACTAAAGTACTCAAGTAAATTAGGAAAAGCACATTGCCTTCCCAGTACTTTCGTTTATTCATCTTTAGGCTGAAATGATATTTTTCCTCCCTTATTCTTTAGAGATGCTGTGAAAAAAAAAGAAAACTAATAAAATATTTTTATTAATTAAGAATTTTTAA